TAAAGCGAATAAGGCAAGCTAAACTATTTAATAAAGCACATAATATAATTCCTTTTAAATTGAATTATTTCTTCTCTTATATGAACTTCTTTTCAGTATCACTGGAATATCATCGGATGCCGTAGAAATCTGGGTCAATATTGTATTGCCGCCATATTAAATTGTTAATGCAAAATTATCTGTTTTGTTTTGCATTAACAAAAAAATTGTTAATGCAAAATCACGTTATGGTTGATGTGCGTGAAGTTATTTCCCAGTTCCTAGTTCCTTATTTTCAAAAATAAGTAAGTGGACTCTTACATTACATTCAAACTTTCCACAAGCTATATAAACTAGCATGTGCACCATTTATATTAATGAGTAAGACGTGTGTTTTTCTTGAAAAACACGCAAAAACATTAATTATCTACCGATCGTAAACCAGAATAGAAACCAGAATGCAACATTTAGAAATGGCGTAGGCCTATGGCGTTTGTTCTCTTGTTGTAATTAGAACAGTGGGCCGTTGTCAGAAACATCGTAAAGTTAATGCTAATGTTAATGCTAATGTTAATGCTAAGATAATAAGATACACTTTATTACGACTACTGTTAATGTTACAATAGTAGCGTTTACAGAAACGCATCGCAGCTATCACATGAGAAAACCCACGATCATAGGAACTGCATAATTTGATTGGATGAGAATCGATCACAAACAAACGTATTGCCATACAATCAACCATACGCCATTTCCAAATGTTTTATTCTGGTTTACTCTCGGTAGACAATTAATGATTTTGGCGTGTTTTTCTAAAAAACCGTGAAAAAATTGGTTTTATCAACCTCTGTATACGTTAATAAAATATTATTATTGGAAATTAATATTATTATTTTAACAATACGTGTCATTAATATTAGTAGTACTACTAGCTAGTACATGGAAACAATATGGAACACTCATATCATATATTTTCACATCAAGCATGTTTGCACTAGTGAAAATAATAATACAGACGAAAACCACGAGTAGCGTTTCACATTAGGAACCATATTTTCACACGTTATAAAATACATGTATTCATACATTCAGTACAGTGAAAGCAACGTTAATACACGGGGACGTATGCCAGTATGCCATATTTTGTTAACAGCAGGTCACCACTACATTACATTACACTACATTACATTACATTACATTACATTACATTACATTACATTACATTACATTACATTACTTTACAATGCATTACCTTACATTACATTACATTACATTACATTACATTACATTATAGTACATTACACTACATTACATTACACTACATTACATTACATTACATTACATTACATTACATTACATTACATTACATTACATTACATTACATTACGTTACATTACATTACATTACATTACATTACGTTACATTACATTACATTACATTACATTACATTACATTACATTACATTACGTTACATTACATTACATTACATTACATTACCTTACATTACATTACATTACATTATAGTACATTACATTACATTACATTACATTACATACACACACACACACACACACACGCTTGCTGCGAATACTAGTATTATCCGTTTACTTACCTCAAGCTGATCCGTTGAGTTGCTTTCCACGCACGAACCCAGGCTAGTAGCTGCTGCTGTCTCAGCATCGACAGCCGTGTGGTTGACCACGAACGAACCCAGGCTAGTAGCTGCTGCTGTCTCAGCATCGACAGCCGTGTGGTTGACCATACACACGATGGCAACACTCATGTTGATTCTCTGAGCGTAGACATTGGCGCAGCCGAAGAAGCCAAGGATGCAGAGGAAAAGTCTGCAGGATCTCCATAACGGCGCTACACAACAGACCGCACAAGCGCTGCACTAATAAGTATTAATTTATTTGATTTATTTTTTACTAGATTTTATTTGCGAACGAGATTTGAGGCGCTCTTTAACTTGACTGGTGACGTCACGTTACATAGGATCACGATCTGTCGTGTTGTATGCAACAATTGGTCACTGCTATTCTGTGAGAGGCAATCGCGTGTATGTGGTTTATAATACAAGCACGCATGCGCAAACGTACGCAGATTCGTATACACGCGCACACGCAGCATGCAACAAGTAGCAACAAGCAGCAACAAGCAGCAACAACCAGCAACAAGCAGCAACAACCAGCAACAACCAGCAACAACCAGCAACAACCAGCAACAACCAGCAACAACAGCACAACAACCAGCAACAACCAGCAACAACCAGCAACAACCAGCAACAACCAGCAATAAGCAGCAACAATCAGCAACACGCAGCAATACACAGCAATACGAACACGCACACAAGCGCGTGTGCAAGCATGCATGCATATACATGCACATAATCTACACATATATGTCACAGTTATCTAGTGATAAAGATCATTGTTCATTGATTCATTTCATAAGTTAAACAAGACTGATAATGTTATGCTCGCGACTGACGTCACAATACTATCTAAAATTCGTTACATACATCCTATAACATGGCATCGCTCATACAAATAGGAATATCTTGGCTGCATGCATTAATCGTATCACCAGGCCCGTAGTCAGGGGGGGGGTTCGGGGGTTCGAAACGATTCCCGCCGAGCCCCCTCCCCAAGCCAAAAAAAAATGTTGGAAAATTTGCAAGAATTTCACCTCAGGTCGCTCCATTTTAGTGTAATAATTGCAAAATCTCCATCGTGCGGAGGCCTCCGGTGAACAGCTAACACCCCCCCCCCACACCCCTTCCCGCCGCCTCGTCGCCTTGTGGGCTCCCTCGCCGGGTGCGTGCCTACAGGGGGGGTCCCAGGCGAGTTCTGGACCCCCGCTTGCTCGCGCAGAAAAACGACATCTGAAGGCGTTTAATTTTAAAAAATTTCTGGGTTGGTGGGCCCCAGACCCCCCCTTCGCAGTGCTCGCAACTTTGGGTTACGGTTAGACCCCCCCCACCACCCCTGCGTAAAATACTGTACACGCCCTGCCGCAGCAATTCGCCACATTGAAAAAACGAACCCCCCCCCCCCCCCCAATATAAAGCTGGCTACGGGCCTGGTATCACGAGTGTATAATATAGAGATATTATATAGAAATGTATATGATCGTGATGTGAGTCGCAATATATAACAATACGAACACATGCAAATTCATGCACATAATATACACATAATGTACGCGCGCATACACGCATGTCCGCACGTCACGTACACGCATGTGTGCCCATACACGATAACCAGACACCTTTTAGTATACGAACAGTGCGATAAAACGGACATACACAAGCGTATGTAGGACAGACTTGTACGTATAGGCTCTTTGCGTATACGCACGCGAATGTGGGCGCGTAGGTGCGCACATACAGACATGCGCGCACATGCATGCACATGTATACACACATTCGCGCAC